ATGATAGACAAGATGGAGAACATGATCGGTGACCTTAGGATGCAGTTTAGCACGCTCGAGAATAAGAACCGTATGCTTGAGGATCAATTCAGAGAGATACAGAACACGGTGTGCAAAAACCGAAATCACCTTTTACCTTAAATCAGTTACTTTTCTTCAAAATTTTTAAAAATTTAGTTTAGCTAAGAGATGATATGGACCGCTACGAAGACGATAAGCGTCGTAGACAAGACCAGTACAAAGAAACCCTCGCAAACTACCAGCGCCTGGTAACTGTTTTTTTTTCAAAATAACTAACTTGACAGAAAAACACCAAAACACTCAATGACGTGGCTTGTTCACTTCTCTTTGGACTTTGTCTAAAGCACTTTTTCAGCTTTTGGAACAAGGAGCAACGGATGAAGTGGCCCTACTAGAATTAGAAATCTACAGAAAGATGCTTGAATGCGAAGAAAAGAGGTTATCCTTTTCAAAAATGAATTTGTAAGGAGATGGAAGACAGGATTTAAGGTGGGGATCACACGTAGCAACAATGCACGAGTCGTACTCTCAAATTACCAAGCACAGGACTTATACTGTGAGTTGAATTTGTGTTTGAAGGAGTTATTTGGTTAGAAAATTTATTGAATGCTGTTACCTTTAGACGGACGTGTACATCAAAAACTGTGATGAACATGGCGATTATGTGATTGTCGAAAATCTAGGCTATAGTAATGTAAGTAAAGATATCTGCTTTGGGCTAATGACAAACTAATTTTGCATTTTTTAAAGCAAAATTTGGGCGGATACCGTCTCAGCAGAAGTGTGGGTGGTCGTGAACGGTCTTTCACGTTCCCGGAATCATTCGTTCTTGGACCTAGACAAACCGTTCAAGTATGTCCCTACTATTCATCTAGGACTAAGGGTGAATTGCTCCACTTTATTTTGCCAGGTATCTGCCCGAGGCTATACTTCGCAAAGACGAGATTGCAATCACTACCTGACATTCGATAACGATATCACCTGGGGCACAAACGGAGCATTCGTGACCCGGCTCTTCAACAAAGAAGGCGTTGAAGTGTCAACTATCGAAGAACGAGAAA